TCCCTAATATCTGACTCTGAATTTTTATTATTAAGAACTATTAGAATTTGTGCTACAGGTTCTGGACTTTCCTCTGCCTCATCCTTGGGAACTGTGTCATACACCTTACTGTGGGATCCTTGTACACTGTGAATATGTATTGTTCTCATTGGTTGATAAATAAAGCTGCTTTGGCCTTTAGTAAGGCAGGATAGAGCCAAGTGGGAAATCCAAGCAGAAATACAAGTGAAGAAGGGTGAAGTCAGGGAGACACCTGCCAGGTTCTGAGGAAGCAAGACATGTAGAAAATGAGGTTAATTCCACAGCCACATGGCAATACATAGATTAATAGAAATGAGGTAATTTAAATGTAAGAGCTAGCTAGTAACAAGCCCGAGCCATCAGTCAAGCATTTATAATTAATATTAAGCCTCTTAGTGGTTATTTGGGGACTGGCAGGTGGGAGAGAAACATCCAATTACACATTGGGATGTCTTTTGGAGACCCTCTGTCCACTCCGTTCAAATCAAATCTAGCCTAAGTCAAATCTGACCTTAGTATACCTTGGACCAGGCGGTCAGTGAATGGAAAAAAGAATTCTTCACTCTCTTCCTTTTACTTTGTTCTGAGACCTGCTTGTTTCTGTCTGCTCTCCTCTCTAGTCGCCTCTAAACTTTGTACATATCCTGCCTGTACGTTTGTGGCAACATGGGAGTTAGAGATAGAGAGGCCGTCTTCATCTTGCTCAGCACACAACAGTTCTCACCTGCCACGTCTGCTGAGGCAGCCCTCAGTAAGAGAGGTTCCTGGGAGCACCCCTATTTCCTCCAAAGAAGATGGGCAGGCGCAGAGGAACCTCTACCTGGGGCTTGCTTAAATGTGGCCATGCTGGTCACTGGGCAAAAACAAACAAACAAAAAACTGCTTTTCACCTCAACTTCTGCCAAGACCCTCCCCAGACTTTGGACAAACAACAGAGGTCACTGGGGAATGGATTGCCCCACTGAGTCTAGGAAAGGTAGCCTGGCTCCTCCTACCCCAAGTTCCTACTCCACAGGAAAGTCTGTGGTATCTTCCGGGCCTGGCAGCTGAAGACTGCCTCCAATGACCGTGAAGGAACCTGGGGTAGCCGTCTAGGTAGCCAGACAGTCCCTGTCATTTTTAATAGATTTGGAAGCTGCTTGGTCTGCACTTGGGCTGACTCAGGTGAAGTTTGTCCTTCTCAGAACGCCGATGAATAGGCCAATGACAGCTTTGCTGGCTTAACAGCAACAACCGAGGCTTCAGCTGCCTGCTCAGGTGTCTGTGTATAAAATTCAGATCACAGGCCTCACTTTCCTGGAACTGTTATTAGGTCTAGACACAGTTTACCTTGTTATCAGACACAGAAAAGAGATAAACTCACAAAACAGATTTCAACACAGCGTTTTTACCATTCCTTCATTTAAACAAGCTCACTATACAATGACTACTCTCAGTAACCTGTGTCTCCTGGTAAATGATAAGATAGAAGAAGGGGGAAGTTTATGTGAGGAAGCCGGGCAATGATGGTGCACGTCTTTAATCCCAGCACTGGGGAGGCAGAGGCAGGTGGGTCTCTGTGAGTTCAAGACCAGCTTGATCTACAAGAGCTAGTTCCAGCACAGCTAGGACTGTAACACAGAGAGACCCTGCTTCAAAAACAAAACAAAAGTTCATGTGAAGATATGAAAGTTCAGTTGTGAGGACCTAAGAGAATGTTTTAGGGTCTAAGGTGTTTTAAGGTGTGTAAATTCGAGTTACAAAGCTCTAAGGATGTGAGCGTCAATGGTGATTTTTAAAAGGTAACGTAAGGTATATAACAGAACGGGACATGTTCCAGAGTTCTTTCTCTTGCTATGCTACTGTTATATTAAGTCTCCAAAAATTCAGAGTCTTGAGATGACTCAATGGAATTCCGTAAGCTACCAGTCTAGCTCTGGCGGACCGCCACTACTATTGCCATAGTCACAAGCTCGAGACCTTAGAGCCCCTTTGCTTGTTTTCTAGCTATAGACTTAAAAATGTTTCTTGTTGCACTAAAACACCTGTCTAATCTATATACACTGCCTTCTGGATAGAGAAAAGAGCGTTAATGCTTCTAACCAGAATCATTTTGGGGTCTCTTCTGACTCAAAGGCGTGAGAGTCCACTGCCTTTTCTACAATGTGGGTTTCAGTGCAGATTGCAAACAGTGGGAATGCTAATGTGTCTAAAACTAATCTCTTTTTATAAACTCAGGAAATTATTGTAAGCTCCAGAGAGTGGACGTGGATTCACCTTGAATAGGTCAAATGGTCTATAGTTAAGTACTGTCAATCAAAAGCCTATGTTTCCCCACCGACACCTGTTCCTGATGGTGAGATCTCTTCCACCTTTCCCTGGTCTTGGGGTTCCTTTCCCTCAATTACCAGGACCTAAGAAAAAAATTCCCCCTAAAACTTCTTAACTTTATCTTCTGCTCTGCCAGCATCCTGCTAGGTCCCAGGCATCCCTTCAAAATTCGCATCCTGGCCAACTTGGCCCCAAGTGGTCCAGTCCCACAGACTGCTGCAACTAAGCCTGCAGTTTCCTAGCTGCTATAGACAGTTCCACAAAGCCTGGACAGAAGTGAAACAGCCAGATATACAACCAGCAACTCCAGGACTTGGCCAGCATCCGAGCTTTCTCGGGTCCCCCCAAAGATCTCAACACCCCCCAGACAACAGGAAGCAGTCTAGAGAAGATGGCTGGATTTTTTGGTGCCCTCCCTTTGCTGGAGATTCTCAGAGAGGGTAAGGTTTGGGGAGGGAAGGAGAGAGAGAGAGAGAGAGAGAGAGAGAGAGAGAGAGAGAGAGAGAGAGAGAGAGAGAGAGAGAGAGAGAAAACAGGAAACAGGAACAGGGTTTTATGGACCAAGCAGGAGTGAGCTAGAAGTTCCAACCAAACAGTAAGACCTCGTTAGTAATAAGCATAAGCTATCGGCTGAGGTGTTATAATTAATAATAAGACTCTGAGTGGTTATTGGGAGCAGTTGCTGAGACACATAAACTCCACCTACATATATCTACCTGCCTCTGCCTTCTGAGAGGTGGAATTAAAGGTTGCCAACATAGCCCAGCAAGTGAGTGGGTTTTGTAGGGAGATTTTCTCAGAGCTCAGGTGTTTGCACAGATGGGAGGCAAAGAGCAGCAAGGGGAATGTTTCATGTTCAGGGCAGGCTGAGGAATCCAGAGTGGGGACATGCAGATGGCTTCGGAAGCAAATTAGTAGAACACAGTAGCAGTGTTCCAAAAGAGAGGAGCTTTGAGTGCATTTATTTCTTAATTTTTGGAGTTTAGTGGAGAAAGTGAAAACTGTGGTTTGTATTGATTATTCCTTTGGCTGAGGCTTAAATAGATATTTGTGGATAAACAAGGAGGATGTTTGGAGTCAAATACGTGGTAGTCAGTCTTAGAACAATATGGCTATGGTTATGGGAGCCATCCAGTGCTGATGGCATCTCTCTGGTTCCCCTTTCCCTGTGTGGGCTTCCTCCAGCTCTTCTGTGTTGCTCAAGGGCAACAGATTGGCATCCCTTTTGCACATTGCAGGTAAATATTTTTAATGATTCACTTTTATTTTATATAGATTGAATGTTCATAATATCAACCTGTCCTCTACATTCCTATCTCTCTGCCCATACACTAGGGCAGCACTTGGCCATCATCAGAGAACTTTCTCTGCGCATGGATGACAGCTAACAGAAACTCACAGCTGGTCACCGTGTCAGTGGAGTGCACAGCCGCAGCGAAAGAGGCCTGTATCTTATATCTCTTCCCCCTACCAAGACTCCTGGATAGGGGGGTGGAAAGATCTAAGAGCCGGAGGCTGAGGAGGACTGGGCTGAAATAGTGTCTTGGAAATGAAGGACTATAATAACACTTATAAACTCAGACCAGCTGCTGCTTTCTTTGTTTGCACAGGATCAAGTCAATCAACATTCCAGAATGCGCGAGGGAGGAGCTCACACTCCCCATCAAGGGCTGCCTTGGGAGGGAAAGCCAGTTTCTTTTAAGGCCTAGTCCCTGGCAGACCATGCTCCAGTGGTCACCCCACACCAAACAATGGCAGGCAAATTAGACCTGGTAGATTAGAAGCAAAACAAGAGAGGTTGTAGAAATGGTTCCATTGGTAAAGGTACTTGTTATAGAGCCTGGGTTCAATCCCAGGGTTTCATATGGTGGGAGAAGAGAATCGATTCCTGAACGTTGCCTTCTGATCTTCACACATGGGCTGTGGTGTGTGTGTGTGTGTACAGACACTTGCTATGTGTGTGCATACACAAAAATAAATTAAATAAATAATAAACGTAAAAGAGAGGACATGGGGGACTGGAGAGATGGATCAATGGTTAAGAACATTGGCTGCTCTTCAGAGGACCAGCACCCACATGGTAGCTCACAGCCATCTATACCTCCAGTTCCAGGGGACTCAACACAGGCACACATGCAGGCAAAACACCAACGCACATAAATAAATAAATAAATAAATAAATAAATAAATAAATAAATAAAAGGGCATGAAATTAGGGGGTGGGGTGGATTCCTATGAACTTGGGATAGGGATGGCTGAGATGGGTATAGGGTCTGTGACAGAAATGGGGTCTCGAGATCAGGGTCGTGGGACGTGAATAGGAATGGTGATTCCCCTCAAAGCTGGAGATCAGGGTTAAGAAGAGTCTTAAGAGCAGGTAGAGATGAGAGTCTTTCGATAAGGCTGCTTTCCAACATGCGTGGTACAGTTGCAGGGTGGTTGGTGTTGCAAAGTTGGAGAACACTGCGTGCAGCGAAAATGGGATGCGTGTTGCAGAACTGGGGTCGGTGCCAGCGTTCGGAGGTGGCGTGCGAGGGTCGGACTTTTGTCCGTGCAGAATTGGAACCACTAGGGGACTGGGTCTCCGGCGGACAACAGGGAAAGCTGTGTTTCCGGGGCAGGGGGCTCAGCGCCGGCTCCTGGGCGCCCCCTGGCGGCCCCGCTCCCGCCACCACCGCCGCCGCCGCCGCGGTTCCCACAATGCTTGCGTAGCCCCGGCTCCGACTCCCCCGGCGGCGGCAGCTCCAAGATGGCGCAGGCGATCTTCGAGGCCCTGGAGGGTGAGCGCGCCGGGCCGGGGCAGCGGCTGTTCCGCGTGGCGCCCCCTCCCGCCGCGCCCTCGCAGCAGCGGGCCCTGGGCGCGCGGAGGCCGCGGGGCGGAGGGCGGAGGGCGTCCGGGCGGGAACAGCCGCGGGGCGGGAGGGGGCGGGAACAGCCCGGGAGAGCCGGCCCTGCGGGGAGGGGGCCTCGGGACCGGAACAGCGCGCCAGCCCAGGCCGCTGGCGCTGGAGGGTGCACGCGGAGGAAACAGCCGGGGGTCGGGCGCCCTGACCACCGAGAACTCGAGCTGGGGTGGAGCCCTACTAAATCCAGAGCAGGGAAGGAGGCGCCGCCTGTGTGCACAGCCGGGTCTGGGGGGGAGATCGCAGGCCCAAACCAGTAAACACAGGGCACCCGCCGGGTGCTCCTGAGTCAGAACCACCGCCGCCCTGTGCCTGCTTGGGCCACGCTGGTCCCCGATCCTACGGGATCCGATCCTGTGATTGTCAAGATCACAGAGGTGCCCAGGCCTCAGACTCTGCAGGAAGCGAGCGCCACCGTGTGCACCTGCTGGAGTTTAGCGAAGGCTAACTCTAGAGACAGGGGTGGAGTTGGGCACAGGAGTCGCCGCCAGGGTGGAGGGTGGAGTGAACAGCTAGAGCGGGCACTTGTGGGCAGGCCGGGCAGAAGGAAGCCAAGGCTTGCAGTTCTCTAGACGGCAGCCACCTAGGTTCTTGGAGGACCAGTTCTCACCATGGGATGAGAGCGCCTTTTGCTATCTACGAGGGTCCCACTTAACCAGATTCAGTTGACCTTATCCTTCCCCATTTCTACCCCACACCACGCCCATCGCCAATATTGTGGGAAAGAATAGTAAACGAAGGTAACTTCAGCCAGGTGTGGTGGGCCATGCCTGTAATCTCAGTGGTTGGAAGGTGGAGACAAGAAAGAAAATCAGAGGTTTGTTAGCCTTGGTTACATATCGGGTTTGAGGCCAACTTGTGATCGTGAGACTAAGAAAACGGACAATTAGGAATATGTATGTACAAACTTTGCATACACATATGCACGCAATAACATTTTTTTAAAGGCCATGAATTTGAAGGAGAGGGAGAGGTTATGTGGGAGGGCTTGGAAGGTGGAAAGCGAAGGAACTGTTGTAATCAAATTATAATCTCAAAAATAATAAAAATGTTAAAAATAAATATCTTCCAGAAAACAAAACAAACAAAACAACAAAAAAGAAGACTGCAGAGACAACCCCAGTTTCTGTGTTCTGTGAAGAAAATAGGAGGGATGGTGGCAATCTGGGCAGTCAGGGTCATGGGTGTTTCCTCTTGGAGCACGGTGGGATATTGCATTGTTTTAAATATTTATTACAAGCATGCATTTGTATATTGGATGATGAAAAAAATTAAAAGAGAAATCGGAACGTGTGGCTTCACTGGCCTTGGGAGGTCCCCAGCACGAAAATAAATAAAAAATCTGAGTGAGGGAAGCATCGCAGGTGTGTGTGGATCCGGGCTGGCATCCGAAGGACCAGGTGGCGGAAGCAGGTTTGCAAAACCCTGGGGAGAGCAAGATTTCCCATAATTCAGTTCAGCATAGGCGAGCAGCTAGAGAAAAGACCTCCGCTGGTTTGACGAAGCTTCTGAACTTTACCTTGGAATCAGTGTGGCGCTAAGAAAAGGTTTTCATCAAGGCAGCCGCATCATCTGATGTATGTTTTATAAAGTTCAGCCTGTCTTCCGGGGATTGGCCTGGAGGGGGCTGGCTGGCAGCAGGGAGGTAGGTGAGTGAGAAAGAAGCTCGGCTAGACAACTGAGCCAGTGGAAAGAGTGGAGCTCAGATAGATGTGGGAGACAGAATAGGTGAGATTTGCCAAAAGTCTAGAAATGGCAGGAAGGAAAGAGTGGGGTGAGAGAAGACGCGGGATGCCCAGGAGCCTTGCTTGGAAGGACAGTGCCCTGCTGCCGTGCAGGTCATGATGGGTGCTAACCGGAAGAGACAGGCGTGGAGAGTAGCCTACTTAATTTGGGGCTGTACTTTTAATTCTTTTTAGTTCATTACGTTACAGCCTGCATGCAAGTTCTAAAACACAATACAGAGTGGTTCCAAGAACCGATTTCCCCCCAGCTTGTGCTGATGTTATCTTTAAACTGGTGACTCTTGCCATCAATGTGGAAGAATTCCATCGCTACCAGCTGATGGGTTCCAGGGATCCAAGATCCTAGATGGTTCCAAGCCACACTCTGCATCCCTCTCCTCCCACCATTCCTGACTCCTGGCAAGCACTTATCTGTTCCTCACCAATAAAATGTTGTCGTTGCAAGACTATTTTGTAAGCGAACCTTGCCTTTGAGACTTTTATATATTGTATTTTGCCTACCAATTTCTTCAAAGTGCATCTAGCTTGTGTGTTTTTTGGTGTTTGCTTTTTTTCTTTTTTTCTTGAGATGGGTTTCTCTGTGTAACAGCCCTAGCTGTCCTAGAACTCTCTTTGTAGACCAGGGTGGCCCCAGACTCACAGAGATCTGCCTGACTCAGCCTCCTGATTGCTGGGATCCAAGGTGTGTGCTACCACCATCTGGCTAAATTCGGGTTTCTGTCTGTCAGGAAAGCCACTACTTCCTTTTCCTGCCACTGATGGTCAACTGACGGGGGCAAAGTGCATCTAATTTCCATGTAACCTGAACAACCTGCATCAGCTCAAAGACCCCACCCTGCTGACCGTCATATAAAATTCACTTTCCTTCCTACCATGTTGTAATGAGAGCTGCTTATTTGTCCCTGGCTGCTCAGCCCCAAAATAATCACACAGAAACTATATTATTTAAAACACCGCTTAGCTCATTAGCTCTAGCTTCTTGTTGACTAACTCTTACATATTAATTTGACCCATCTCCATTAATCTGTGTATTGCCACAGTCTGTGGCTTACCAGGTAAAGTTCCAACATCTATGTCCAGCAGAGCTACGTGGCTTCTCTCTAACTCTGCCTTCTTCCTCCCAGCATTCAGTTTAGTTTTCCCCGCCTAGCTCTGTTCTACCCTATCAGGCCAAGTTTATTTTTATTAAACAATGGTATTCACAATATATAGAGGGGAATCCCACATCACCTCCCCTTTTCTGTTTAAATAAAAAGGGAGGGTACATTGTAAGCAACTTCCAAAACTCTAGAAATGACAAAGACATCTTGCTGCCTAGAAAGTCACCCAAAGTTCTAATGTACTGTTGGGGCATCCATTTTCAGCCCATAGTATCCAGCAGACTTTTCCATGAAGCAGGAAATTTCAAAGATAGTTCCACCTATATTGGCAGTTTGTCAGTCACTTTCTTCTGTGTCCTGAATGTGTCTGGCAGACAATTGCAGGAAGCAGGAACCCTGAAGGATCATCTCACCTTCCTTAGGCAACTTCAGCAGTCATCTCTCTGTAGGTCCTGCATGTCCAGTTTATATAGCATACCATAAAGCAGTCCAAATGACTAGCAAACTCCATAAGGAGTCTCTTCGATGCCCATCTTCCTCTTGAAGTAATTGGTGCTGCCAGGAGCATATGTGTCTCATTGTCATGAAAAGTCCTAAGTTCTTAAAACATTTTAAATGCCATATTCTGAAGGTCTCTGAAAGACTATCTGAAATATATAACACCTAACTAAAATATATCTCTATAAATCTAGAAAACCTAACTAACATGACTACAAACTTGACTATTATGGCTATTAACCTATACTTCTTAATTATACATTACATTTTTAAATGAGCTGCACAAACACAATACCTTAATCAAGATCAGAAATACATATACACAGTATAACAAAATTGATCCTAAATTTGTATCAATAAACCAAGATCCATACCAATGCAAATCTCTATAGCATATCCCCCTTTAAATGTAAATGAGCATTTATAAACAATATTTGGGCATATGGGCATAGTTCATTCCAAGCTGCTTCCTGGTTTTTGTTGGGTGAAGTATTTTTTGTGGGTGTTCACAGCAACCTTTTAGAGGGTCTTGGTCCATCAAACCACATTAGCCTAGAATGAATCCACAGGTTCTTCTGTGGAAACAAATACAAAACCCCTTCTCTAAAGCAACATATCCTTAGACCCAAATTTTGAAGACAAGATACCTTTAAAGTGTATATGTTGGTTACTTAGCTCCTTTACAGTCAAACAATTCAAAGAAAACACAATAATATAATCCAGACTCTGTGTGTAGTCCATCTTTACATGGCTTATTTATTTTTACTCAATTACTTTTTAATATTTATTTTATTATCTTTACTTCTTTAATCTATGACTGTCTATACTCTGTCTCTTTAAAGACTTTGTTTTATTTTTTTTATTTAAACGATTTACTTCTTTTCTAACTCTCTATAATCTTTTTCTTCTCTCTTTCAAGCCTACGTACATTTATCCTGCACTGTGACCCATTTAGAGGTCTTTTTCAACTAGATTTGTCTTTATTGTGTTATCTGTAATTATTTTTTTTGACCAGAACCACTTCTTAAAATTCTAAGCCCTTCTTATGAATGTAAGTGGCACCATTGCTAGGGGAAATACGGCACTGCCTGCTTGCCTCGCCCAGTCCAGCATGGTGGAGGTCTGTTTACTGCCTCTGCACGTCCTGCACATTGCCCCAGTTTCAGGTGTGCAGTGGGTCTCTGTCGCACCATCAAGCAGATTATAGCACTCTGCTCACAAAAGCCCGTTTAAATGCTCCATAGCCAGACCTCCAGAAAGAGCCAGAGCTCATGCTGACAGCATGACCCGGAAAGCTGGCGTTTCAAAACAGCACAGCTTTTTCTACTGCTGAATCAGGAAAACCTCTCTTAAAGGAGCTGCAGCATGCTGCCAGCAAGCAAAGCTCATTCAGGGAAATAAATGCAGCTAAACTTTTTTTTAGTGTCTAGAATTCCTTTGCAAACCCTCTCAGGTTTTAAGTGGATTTTAGTTGGCCATATGGGCACCAGTTTGTTGTAATGAGAGCCATTTGTTTGTCCCTGGCTGCTCAGCCCCAAAATAATCACACAGAAACTATATTATTTAAAACACTTCTTGGCCCGTTAGCTCTAGCTTCTTATTGGCTAACACTTACATATTAATTTGACCCATCTCCATTAATCTGTGTATTGCCACATGGCTGTGGCTTACAGGGTAAAGTTCTACAGTCTGTGTCCGGTGGGGCTACATGGCTTCTCTCTAACTCCACCTTCTTCTCCCAGCCTTCAGTTTAGTTTTCCCCACCTAGCTCTGTTCTACCCTATCAGGCCAAGCCAGTATTTTTATTAACCAATGGTATTCACAGCATACAGAGGGGAATCCCACATCACTGCCAGGCCACTGCTCTGTACTCTGAGGCAGCCCAGCACTTTGTCCCCCAGTAAACTGTCTTTCTACCTGTGGAGTGGTCTAATTTGGTGTTTTGCTGCATCTGGTTTGATGGTTTTACTTAGCCAATGCTTTGCAACAGCTTCCCCCTCCCAGATACTGACCTGTACTGCACTGGGATGGCACAGACACAATTTCTCACTGGGACATGTGGTAACGTCAGTGGGTGTTGATGCTAAGGTTTTGGCACTGGGCACATCCTATTCCCCACCCTCCTCCCTGACTCCTGCCCAGGATGGGAGAGCCTGGCTCAGGCTCTCGCTGTAAATTTCCTCCCCTGACTTAGAAAGGGCGTGAGAACAGACCTCACTTCTGCTCCGTGGGCTCTGGTTCTCTTCAGACGGAACACTGCTGTCTGTCACAGTACTGGTACCTGAAGTCTCCTCGGAGCCCCTGTCATCCAGCTGTCCCTCTGTCTGTCCATGGCATTAATAATTCTTCTAATAAACTACTTAGCTTTTATTTTGGTGTCCTCTTGAACCATCGACTCCATTCAAACCTAACAATGGGAAAGGGTTTACAGAAGCTGTGTGGGAGAGCATGGACCCTAAACCTGTAGCCCTAAGATACGGAATGAGATGAGCAGGAATGAGACCACCGGGGACAGTGTAGAAGGTGGAATCCAGACAGAAGGAACTCCTTCGGGGGTGGGCAGAAGGAGGCTGTAAAGGACCCCCAGCAAAGTAGAAGGGATCCAGGAAGGGTGGCACCTGGAGTCATGGAGGGGGTCTTGGTGTGCCAGACACTGCTGGATGGCCATTGGTGGAAGGCAAGAACGTGAGCATCACTAGAGGGGAGAGAGAAGATTCGAAGGTTGGCAGGAAGATGTGGGCACAGGCCGGTATTTGGAAGATTCCACATCAGATATTTGATGTTGAAGGGACAGAGATGAGAGCAAAGAATGCAAGGAGACTTGTGGGATGTGCATGAGGAGGACCAGAAAATGGGGTTTTCAAAGGGCTCTGTGACTTAGGTACGGTCTGGCAATGGCTTTGAGATACTACAGATTGTTTGTTTATAGAAAGTTCAAAAGGTAGACTAGGGGTGTAGATTGACCCGGAAGGATTCTCACTTCTCTTTCTTTCTTTCTTGCTTGCTTGCTTGCTTGCTTGCTTGCTTGCTTGCTTGCTTGCTGGTTGGGGGTAGGTTTTGAACCTCTGAACATGCTAAAAAAAACCTTGTCCTAAGCGTGTGCTCTGCCAGTGAGGCATGCTTTCAGCCTATTTTTCCAGCTTTTTTGTTTGTTTGGGGTTTTTTTGTTTGTTTGTTTGTTTTTTTGTTTTGTTTTTCAAGCTAGGGTTTCTCTGTAGCTTTGCAGCCTGTCCTGAAATTCGCTCTTGTAGACCAGGCTGGCCTCGAACTCACAGAGATCCACCTGCCTCTGCCTCCTGAGTGCTGGGATTAAAGGCACGTGGCACCACCGCCCCGCTTGTTTTTGTTTTTCAAGACTGGGTTTCTCTGTGTAACAGCCCAGCCCTGGCTGTCTTGGAACTTGCACCATAGACCAGGATGGCCTTGAACTGACAGAAATCCACCTGCTCTGCCTCTTGAGGCAGGAGGATCACCGTGAACTCAAAACCAACTTAACCCTTCATAATGAGTTCAGGGCCACTTGGGCTATTAGAGTGAGACCATATCTTTAAGAAAAAAAAAAGTAGTACAGCATTCTTTTGAGAAGCTCTCTTTTTTTTTTTTTTTTTTTTGTTTTGTTTTGTTTTCTGAAACAATGTTTCTCTGTGTAGCACTGGCTGTCCTGGAACTCACTCTGTAGAGCAGATAGGCCTCAAACTAACACAGATCCCCTATAGGTCGTGACCTCTTTGGTGGCTAAATGACCCTTTCACATGGGGTCATAAGACCATTAGAAAACAGAATATTTATGTTATCATTAATAATAGTAGCAAAATTGTAGTTATGAAATAGCAACAAAAATAATTTTATGGTTGGGGTCACCACAACATGAGGCACTGTATCAAATGTTCGCAGCACTGGGAAGGTTGAGAACTACTGATTTAGCCCTAGGTGTTCTGGTACTATATAGGCCAACTGGCCTTAAACTCACAGAGATTCACCTGCCCCTACCTCCTGAGTACTGGGATTAAAGGCATTTTTACGCCTGGTTTTGAGAAATTTTCATTTAATACCTTCTCTCCTCTTAACGGCATGTAGTTCTTCCCTAGCTGCGAGAGAGGTTTAAGGATGCAGTCTTTACTCTGAGATCATGTCTCCAGCCTCACCTTCTGGAATCGGTTACAGTGAAGTAGAGAGAACATGTCTGGGGTTTTTGTGGTAGATCTGGCCTGTGAGGGTGAAGTGAGAGTGGAAGCTGGGCCCCCTTCCTCACAGGTTGCATTTCCTGTTTCAGGAATGGACAACCAGACTGTGTTGGCTGTCCAGTCACTGTTAGATGGCCAAGGAGCCGTCCCTGATCCCACAGGACAAAGTGTCAGTGCGCCGCCTGCCATTCAGCCTCTGGGTGAGTACCGAGGGCAAGTGGCTCCCACGCAGAGCACGTGAGGTTCGTGGGGCATGGGAGAGACCCCAGACTCAGACTGTCCTCTGGTGTCCTCCTGCTGAACCTGCCCATGCTTCTCTCTGCCCACTGCCTAGAGAATGCGGGTAGCGGGCATCATCATTGGGAATGCCCAGGAGCCTTGAGGCTTCACCACCTTTGTCCTGGAAGTCACGTCTCAGCTCCCTTCTGTGGAAAGAGAACACAGATTTTTCCAGCTTATGGGTCAAGCTTGTGGCTCCTAGAGAGGGGAAAGGGCTTCTCTGGAAGTCCCGTGGGTCTTTATTAATTTATTTGTAATGTTTTTTTAAGACCAAGCTCATAAAGCCTCACTGGCCTCAAATTTGCTATTTAAACACCTGATCCTCATACTTCTGCCTCCCGAGTGCCAGAATTGCAGGTGCGCATCCACCATGCAATCCACGACATCTGAGTACTTGAGAATCACTAGGCACACAGGAATAAACACCTGGGGTTAGAGAATAATAATAACAATAATTATATATATACATATATGTGTGTGTATATATATAGAGAGAGAGACAGACAGACAGACAGGGTCTCTCTAGGTAGCTCTCTCTGGCCTGGAACTTGATATGTAGGAACTTGAATGTGTAGGTTCTTATTCCCATAGTTCTTAACTTGGCCTAGATAGGCAGGTTAGGTTCAGTTTCAACAGTTATAGAATGAGAATAATTGTCCTACCACATCAGAATCTTCTAAGAGTGCTGAGGACTTGGTTTCAGCTGTGTATATAAGAAATGGAAGTTTCAGGGGCTGGAGATATGGCTCAGTGGTTAAGAGCATTGCCTGCTCTTCCAAAGGTCCTGAGTTCAATTCTTGGCAACCGCATGGTGGCTCACAACCATCTGTAATGATGTCTGGTGCCCTCTTCTGGTCTGCAGACATACACACAGACAGAATATTGTATACATAATAAATAAACAAATATTTAAAAAAAAAAAAAGAAATGGAAGTTTCTGAGGTCAGCAAGAGGGCTCCATGCATAAACGTGCTCACCACCAAGCCCAGTGACCTGAGTTTGATCCCCGGAACTCATATGCTAGAGGGAGAAAACCTAATCCTGTGCTTTGTCCTCTAACCTCCGTGTGCAAACTGTGGCTCAGTTACACACCCACCCACTCAGGTACATGTTGAAGAAGTGCAAGAAAAGAAGCAGCAGCAGCAGCCACCTTCAATCCCAGAAGCAGAGGTCAGCCAGGGCTGCACGCTAAGACCTTGTTGTTAGGGATATTTCTTAAGACGAGCCTTTCTGCTGACGCAAATAATTCCAATCAGACCAAATTGGAGAGAATAAAAGATGCCCGTGTTTAATGCAGCGGTCTCGGGTGTACTGGGAAAGCACGGTGAGGGGAAGAGAGCAGGGGAGACCACGTGTTTCTTTTTAGGGTGGCAGCCTAAATAGCCTGTGGGAGTGGTCCTGACCCTCCCTGGGGAGGGGTCACTGCTTGGCAGGCTTTTCCAGAGGTGGAGTCCGGACCAAGGCGACTCCCAGGGGAGGGGGCTTGAAAAGGAGCTTCCTGCTCCATTCCTGCTCCATTGGCACTTCAAGGATGGGTGCCAAGGGCTGGGATGACGCTTCCAACCCAAACATCCCAGAGTTCTTGGATATAGGGGTGTCATGGGGCTGGGGTCTCACTTTTGACCAGACTCCTTGGATATGGGGTGTCGGCTCAAGTCTGACTACTTCCTACAGGCATGGGGCGACGTGGGAGAGGGGATATCTGATAGTTGGTGGGCTCACGTTCAGCCAGAGGTGCGACTGGAGCAGCACCTGGTTTACTCTCATCCTGGAGACCTCAGGCAGCTGCTTTTTGAGGGAGATGAGAAGGCAGGTGGCTAGGAGAAAAAAAAAATGTTATTATTGGCCCTATAAAATGGGGCTAGGCATGGGAAGTCATTAACTACCAGAAAGAATGGAACAGAGCAGTGCCATGGTTGTCCAGGTGAGGCTCGGGTGTATAATTGGGACACAATAGCAGATAGAACCAGATTTTAGTTGGTAGGTGTCCTTGATCCAGGAGAGTTGGTACCAATGGTGAAGTCCCAGGAGCTGGTGCAGGTGTTGGTGTTGTCTGGAGGGCACTTTGTAAGGTGGTCTTGGCCCAGACAGCAGGAGTGACCTGTAAAATATGCTTGAAACTGGGTGGGGTATGAACATTTTAAAGACAGTTAAAGGGAATTGGGAACGCTGGATTTTTAAGATACACCTGAAACCTGTTAGTCCTGGACTATGACGCCTGTGAAAGAGGCACACCTCTCTGTATTCTAGCAGGAAACTTAACACTTGTCTCAAACAAACAAATAAAAATAAAACAACAATAACAACAACAAAGCCTAATCTAAGCCAAGAAAGAAGTGGAAGCTTCTACTGGTTTCCTCAAATGAAGCTGATGTTTCTCTCCCTGAAGCCCTGACTGACCATCTGTAGAGCTTTTTCAGACTCTGCCTTCACCCTGTGGTCCAGATGGACTTCCCCTGTTCCCAGTTGATTTCCATCTTCTGGCCAACATGAAGGAGAAGAGAGAAGGAAGAGGAAGTCAGTACCATTTCTTTTTGTTTGTTTTGTTATTGTGATTAGGACTTCATATGTAGCCCAGGCTGGTCTAGAACTCTAGGTCCTCCTGCCTTAATTTCCTGGGTGCTGAGATTATGTGTGCATACCATCATGACTAGCTGTTCCTTTTCCTTCGAATAGAAGTTTGCATAGATATTACACTTCTGCCCTTACCCCATTGGTCAGAGTACAGTCAGGTGATATGCCTAGTAACAAAGCAATTTGGGGAAAATATATACTTTAAGTAGGAAGTCATGCTGGTCAGTGGCAACACTTGTTTTTAGTCCCAGCACTCGGGAGAGATAGGCACATCTCTAAATTCAAGGCCAGCCTGGTCTATAGAGTGAGTTCCAAGATAACCAGGTCTACACAGAAAAATCCTGTCTCTAAAAACAAGGCAAGGGGGCTGGAGAGATGGCTCAGTGGTTAAGAGCATTGCCTGCTCTTCCAAAGGTCCTGAGTTCAATTCCCAGCAACCACATGGTGGCTCACAACCATCTGTAATGGGGTCTGGTGCCCTCTTCTGGTCTGCAGGCATACACACAGACAGAATATTGTATACATAATAAATAAATAAATATTTTTTAAAAAAAGAAAGAAAAACAAGGCAAAACAAAAAAAAAAGGAAGTCATGTTTTCCACTAAAATCTGTACTAGTCTATAAGAAGAATACAATGAACATTGGTGCCAGGTTTGGGATTTATCAATGGCTTTGGTAACCAATAACATACACATACAAATTGAGTAATTGGGCGTTTGAGCTATGGTGTGCTTTAAGACACCATATGCAACTGTTGTTAGCTCTCTCTAGCCTTTAAGTGGCTTTTCATTTATTCAGCACATACCCTTTGAGGACCTTCCAGGATATATCACAGCCACACTGATAAATAAAGCACATTTCTTTCCCTTAGAGAACACACAGTCCGGTGGTAGTGAGAAAACTGTATTTGTGGGGCCAGCCCAGAATAAGGAACTGTGGCCCTGGCTGTAAGAAGACTGCCTGGGTGTGGGGGTGGGGAGATGACTCAGCTAAGAGATTTTACAGAGGACCTGAATTCTTCCAATCCCAGCACACATATAAGATGACTCACAACTGCCTGTAATTCCAGTTCCTATGTTGCCCTCCTCTGGACTCTGCAGGCATTGCACTTATGTGCATGCATAGACACACAAATACATAGACACACACACACACACACACACACACACGACTAAAAATACAAATAAATCTTTATATAAAGTCTTCCTAGGCTGGGCGGTGGTGGCACGCACCTTTAATCCCAACACTCAGGAGGCAGAGACAGGTGGATCTCTATGAGTACAAGGCCAGCCTGGTCTACAGATCTAGTTCCAGGATAGGCTCCAAAGCTACACAGAGAAACCCTGTCTCGAGGCTTCCCCACTCCTCAAAAAAGACTTCCCAGAGCTGATGATCCTTGCAATGTGGTTTGATCTGAGATGAACCGGGACGAGGGGAATGGTGGATGCAGAGGTGTAAGGCTGTAGCTGCACAGCCCACTGGAGGCTCACGAGTAAATTCAGTCAAAATAGAGTCTGTATTTCTCAGCTTTGGAATGAAGTCACTGTGCTGTTTCCATATTTCAAATTGTTTGGTCGTAAAGGTACCTGTTGGGCTCTGAACATTCCTAGAGAGCCCATGGCTGATGCTCGGCACTTGCCTGGCAAGCCATGCTATGTTTTCAGCTGTGGTACCCCACTCTCCACTGCCATCCCCCTGACTTGCTCTTGCTTTTCTCCACGCTCCATGTGTCGCCTCTTCAGATGACGAGGACGTCTTCCTCTGCGGGAAGTGTAAGAAGCAGTTCAACTCACTGCCAGCCTTTATGACCCACAAGCGTGAACAGTGCCAGGGGAATGCCCCTGCCCTGGCCACAGTTTCACTGGCCACCAACAGCATCTACACTCCTTCAGCTGCACCTGCTGCCATCCAGCAGGCCCCTCCTCCTGCCAACCGCCAGGTAGTTCTTTCTTCCTTTTCGTTTGCTGATTTCTTTGGAAGGTCTCCTTCTGCACACACTGTCCTGAGTCTGGGCAGAAAAGTGTTGGGCAGGGCTGACGAAGTCTCTACATTGTGGAGCTGGATGAGATGGACAGGACAGAAAGACATAAAGATCGACATGTTTTGCTGGGCATAGTGGTATATACCTGTCATTCTAACATTCAGGAGGATCAAGAGTTTGAGGCCACACTGGGCTGCAGCTTGCTGGGTGGCAGCAACGTATTCTCTTGAGTCTGCCCACTTTTCTAAGTCATTCATAAAAGCGTAACTTGTTTCTTCACTAATTCATTAGTCTGCTTTCCTTAACACTTGGGAATTTCTTATTCTTGCTCTGAAGCTGGCCTTCCACTGTGTGACTGCTTGTCTGCCATGTGTCTGGTCCCTGTGGTGACTTTAGTGGTATGTTTTGCTCTCTTTCCTCCATTGTCATCTTCTAGCTAGCAGCTGAAACAGTGTACCTGCCCTGAGGATTTTTCTTCTTCTCCTCTTCCTTCTTCTCCTTTTTGGTTTTCTGAGACAGGATTTCTCTGTATAACAGCTCTGGCTGCCCCGTAACTCACTTTGAACTCAGAGATCTGCCTGCCTCTGCCTTCCAAGAGCTGGGATAAAAGGCGTGAGTCACCAGTGCCCAGCAAACTGTTAAATAAATTAAAGAATTATACTTTTTTCAGTCTACTAAGTGCTAAGATGGGGTGGGAGATTTTTACCATAATCTATCTTGAATGATATTTGGAGCAGAACTTTGAAGAAGTGACGTTTGAGCGGAGGCTCAGGAGGTGAGGTCATAAGGTTACGTATATAAAATGTGTTCCTGCACTAGTGTGTGCAAGGGCTCTGAGGTTGAAGTGTACCAGGTGTCCCAGGAGCTACAAGGATGGCAGAGTGGCTGGGCAGGAGTGAGTGAGGGAAGGTCAGATCATGTGGGCCCTGTGGGCTTTTACTTGGATGTAGAAGCCACTGGGGAATCTTGAGAAGAGGGACCTAGACTGACTGACACTTTACCCATGTGGACTGCTCTGTGGACATTGTGAGCGCTTGCTTCCCTGGAGCAGAAGGCAGGAATATTATTGCTGGACCGGAGCGATGTGCCTTTCAGAGAGATGTGACTCCGCATTGGCAGGTGCCGAGCGCGAGGCTCAGAGATGTGGATGGTTTGCTGAGAGTGACCAGGAGCAGCTAAGAGGAAAGGCTCCGGAACATGGGTCTTTAGCTTAGTTTCTGTTCTTTGTGTTCTTCTTTCTTCTCTATTTGTTGTTAAGGTTTATTCATTTTATTTTATGTGTGAGTGTTTTGCCTGCACGTGTGTATTTGTGCTTGATGCCTTGGAGATCAGAAGTGGGCATCAGGTCCCTGGAGCTGGAGTTACAGATGATTGTAAACCACCATGTGGGTGCTGAGACTCGAACTTGCGCCCTCTGCAAGAGCAGGCAGTTCCCTTAACCACTGCAGCATTTCTCCAGCCCCTTGTTTTTGTTTTTAAACAGATTCCCCTGTGTAGCCCAGGCTGGTCTAAAATTTACTGTGTGGTATGTTAACCTCAAACTCCCAGAAGTCCTCTGGCTTCCTAGGTGCTCCTTCAGATGTCAGCCACTATGTGTACCTTGGAGTTAGGTCTCTCACATCGCCCTCCAGCTTCCTCATAGAGCCTCAGACACGCCCCCTCCTCTCTTGCTCAGATCTCCACATACATCACAGTGCCCCCATCTCCACTGATCCAGACCCTGGTGCAAGGGAACATCTTGGTGAGCGATGACGTGCTCATGTCTGCCATGTCTGCCTTTACATCCCTGGACCAGCCTATGCCTCAGGGGCCCCCACCTGTGCAGGTAAGGAGGCAGGGGCTTCTCATGGGGGTCCTTTTTTCTCTTTGCAATACTGGGTACTGACCTTAGGGCCTTATACATCTCTCAAGAGTTTCATTCCAGGCCTGCAAACTAACTCCTGTGAAATCAGAATATTGTAAAAGAAAATCGCTTTAGCTCCAGCTCTCCAACATGAAAGAAACTAGCAGCCATCTCTGGCCAGCCTGCTGAGCAATGGAGCCATGACAACCACTGTCCAGCTATTTTGAGTCCTGTTTTTATTCTTGGTCTAATAGAAACAAATAGAAAATATAGTGGCTCCCTGAGATTTTCCAGTACACATAGGTGACTAGTCACTAAGACCAGATTTCAGTCTCCCAGAAGGAAAGGACCTGGTCCCCTGAACCCACCATTGGTACATGCTGGTAAGCAGCTGCTGTGTGGTCAGTGTCCTGGGAAACATCACCAATCAAAAGCCAGTCCTGCTTTATAAACTTTTGTTTCTTTTTGGCATTGGCCTTCTCTGGTTGACACATGCATGCCCGAGGCAGGCTAGCTTAGTCATAGAGAAGAGAGATCGCAGCCCCGAGCTGACGTCCCTTGATGTTCTCCCAGGTCTTTGTTTCTTTCCCTGTCTCAGTACCGTCCTCTGAACTGCCCAGTGAGTTGCTGTCCTTCCCTTGTGCCCGTAAAGCCTTTCACGCTGATGAATGAACTGGACACTTCAACACTGTCGTTTTCTCTTCTGATTGTAGAACAGCTTGAACATGCATCCAGTGCCCAACTACCTCACCCAGCCTCCGCCGCCTCCTCCACCCCCCCCCCCCCTGCCCCCCCCCCAACCCCCCCCCAAGCCCAACCCCTCCCCAACCCCCTCCCCCTCCTCCCCAGACCCTGGGCCCTTCTGGGCATTCCAACCCTGTTGGGAATAGTGTGGTGGAGGTCTACAGCGCCGCCCCTATGGCAGGGAATGGAACAGTGGAGATCCAGGCACTGGGGATGCAGCCCTACCCACCCCTGGAGGTGAGCAGATGCGGCGGTGTGGTGGGGCAGATGCCAGGCACTGTGCTAAGGTCACCATGGAGAACCAAAGCAGACCCAGCCTTCTCACGAATGCCTGCATGGGGAGAGGAGGGCTTTAATCAACGCGTGCAGTCTGTAGATGGGACATGCAGACTATTGTGAGGGCCACTTAGGGGCCATGTAGCAGATTCTGGGTTTAAACCCAGATAACTGAATTCCAAAGCTACTTGGTGAAGTTTGTGCTCTGTGTGTGTGTGAGTTCATGTGTGTGTGTGTGTGTGTGTGTGTGCGCGCACATGCACATGTACATCTCTGTGTGTCTTTCTTTTCTTTCATTTATTTAGTGGATGGGTACATGTGTGGAAGTCAGAGGAAAACTTGTGAGAGTTCATTCAGTCTCCTATCCTGTGGGCTCTGGGGTTCGAACTCAGGTCATAAGTCTTGACAGCAAAGGCCTTGGCCCACTGAGCCATCTTCTTGGCCCAGTTTATGAATTTCTAAGGGGTCTTGGGAGTAACTGGCGTGAGTGAGCCAGGTGCACGCTTCTGTGATGATGAAGCTGCAGTAGCTGAAAGTAACTAGGGCCACAGTGAGGGTCCCCCTTATCGCTCCCCTCTAAGGCTCTCCCCCCTCACAGTGCTGTCCTTTTAGGTGCCAAACCAGTGTGTGGAGGCTCCAGTGTACCCCACTCCCCCAGTGTACAGCCCTGGCAAGCAGGAATTCAAAGCAAAAGGACCCAGCTCCACTGCCCCCATGACCAGTGCAAGTGGAAACACAGTGGCCACCTTTGACTCCCCACCAACGCTGAAGACCAGACGTGCTAAAGGTGCCAGTGGACTCCCAGAAGGTTGGCCACCCACCCTCCCTGGGCATCCTTCCTTGGCCTTGGCCTCCCCATAGGCTGCTTGGGTATGGTCTTTGTTGTGAAGACCGTTGGGATTGAGTTTGGTGGCATGTATGGAAAGCTTGAACTAGGAGACCAGGAGCAGAAAATCTGGGAATTCCGTGGCGTGGTCGCCAAGCAGCCATATTTCTTCTGTTGTTCTGTGTCTCTGTCCCGAGAGCACGGCTGCATTTGTCAGGATGCCTTGTCACCTGAGGTGGCTGCTGAAATGTCAGCAGTCATCAACCTCGTGCTCCAGACAGTAAGGAGGAGGAGGAGGCGGAGAAGGGTAAAGGGGACTCTCCCAGCTTCCAGAACCCTATATGAGACTTCCTTCCTGTGTAGCCATGTGGCCATGCATAGTTGCAGAGGGAGTTGGGAATGCTTGTCTTGGCCAGGAGCAGGAAAGAGGCAAAGGTGGCTCCCAGTTACACCAGTTGTGATCTTTCCCCTTTTAGAGATGAGAAATATGGAGTCAAAACCCAGGAGTAGATGTGGGAAAGGAACTGGAAATTTTGTTTGTTTTGTTTTGTTTTTTCAAGGTGTGTCTCTCTTGTGCATCCTTGGCTGTCCTGGAACTTGCTGGCCTCGAACTCACAGAGATCCGAACTCACAGAGATCCTCCTGACTCTGCTTCCCAGAGTGCTGGAATTAAAGACGTGCACCACCACCGCCTGGCTCAACTAGGAATGTTTTAAGGGCTTGCTTCCCTTTCAACCTCTTCTCTTTTCCCTTCTTCCCGAAAATACACATTAATCAGTGTACACCCGCTGGGGATTTAGGTCTTGGTCCAGGATCTCCTCTGTCAGTCACTCACAGTTTAATGGGAGAGATAGGCAGGAAATAAATCAATACTTATGAGTTTCTCTAGGAAGGAGATTACAGGGTAGAAAAGGACGCAACCTGCCTATCTGTGTGGAAGGAAGTAGTCATGTAGGTATTAAGGGATAAGCTTTCCAAGGGAAGCAGCAGGTACAAAGTCCTGAGGTGAGACCAGGCCTGGGAGCATCAGGGTTAGCAAGGAGTCCATTGCCGGGTGGAGAGAGTTCTGCAGTTGGCAGGTACAGAGGACACGGAGCTCTGAAAGCCATGGCAGAGGTGGTGGATTTCATCATGAGCAGAGAAAGCCTCTGAGGGGGCTTTGTCTGGCTCCCCCCTTACATAGTCTGCAGTAGATGGAGATGTGCCAGGGCACATGTGTCTGGCCCCAGATACAGGGAAGAAGTGGCTGGAGGTTTCCCCTGTCCCTTCCCCTGTCCCCTCCACCGGGCCCCTGGCCTGACCATGCCTCCCCTTCCTTATCTTTCAGCTGCAGGGAAGCCAAAGGCCCAGAAACTCAAATGCTCCTACTGTGAGAAGTCGTTCACCAAAAACTTTGATCTTCAGCAGCACATCCGCAGGTAGCTGCCAGGTAGCCCTGGGGGGAGGGGCTCCCTTCTCAGGCCCTGTGCCCATCTGCAGGCCTGCAGTGCAGAGGAGGAGGGTTCCCCACATTCTTCTCAAATTCACTGACCCGAGCTTGTCCACCAAGGCCGGAAGATTGGCGTGTCTGTGTGGGTGGGTACCCTTGAACTGAGGGAGGCTGCACACACACAAGGCTGCTTGTCTTCCAGCTGCAGAAGGGTTAGCTGGCAAGCTGCCAGCTGTGCCAGCATAGCTCGCTAAAGAGGATCCTTCTTGCTCCAAGAGTCTGTTTGTAAAATGGTAGGGTGGGCAGGCTCGGCACCTCTTCACAATGTGGGGGGCCTGGGGTCTGCCATGGCTCTGGTGTTAGGAAATCAGGAACAGTGTGGTGTGGTGACTTCGGCTTTAATCCCTAAACAGTCTGTGGAGGAAGTCTCAGCTTGGGGCTAATCTGTCTTTGACACCTGCCATAAATTTGTTCATTTCTGAGAGAGAACCAAGGGCCAGTCCTAGATTACAGCCACACGGAGCACGACATCTGTCTAGATCAAGGTCTCCCTATCCTGGCATTATTAGGACTGGCACCTGGGGTCGAGTCATGCCGACTGTGCTTTGTGGAAGGTTCACAATTCTCCTTAGCTTCTGACAGTAGATGCCGCCACCACCACCTCTCTCCACAGCTGTGACCGCCAGAAATGTTTTCAGGCATTGGCAAACGTTGCTGGAAACAACTGGACCTCGTCAGGAACATTTGGCAATACTGGAAATGTCCAAACTGGCACCGCTAACCTTGCGTGGCTGTTAGAACTTGGCTAGTGCAGCTGAGAAACAGACTTTTCAGTTTCCCTGTAATGAAGCCAAGTGTGACTGGTCCCACACAGCTGGTGACTTCTTACTGGGTGGCACCACTTTTGATCTTCAATGACATTGTTCTATAACCCCTGGATTTTTCCATTACTGCATTTTCAATACATAGCTATTCATAAAGAAATGACTTTCCATATTCAGTGACAACTACTAGGGAGCTTCTCAAAATTATTTTAAAAGCTGGGCATGGTGGTGCACACCTTTAATCTCAGCACTCTGGAGGCAGAGACAGGTGGATCTCTGAGTTTAAGGCCAGCCTGGTCTGTCTAGTGAGCTTCTGGCCTGCCAGGATTGTCTAGTGAGACCCTGTCTCAAAAAAAAAAAAAAAAATTACGTGGGGCGGTGGTGGCACACACCTTTAATCCCAGCACTTGGGAGGCAGAAGCAGGCGGATCTTTGTGAGTTTGAGGCCAGCCTGGTCTACAAGAGCTAGTTCCAGGACAGGCTCCAAAGCTACAGAGAAACCCTGTCTCGAAAAAGCCAAAAAAAAAAAATTATAAGTTTTGAAAAAGTGTGTTGAGAGGATTTATCACAGCTCTTGCCTCGTGTGTACAAGACCCTGAGTCGAATCCCAGCACACAAAACAATAGGAAGTTAATTTTGCCAGGCATGGTGATACACGCCTGCAATCCCGGCACTTAAGATATAGAAGAAGATCAGGAAGGGCTGGAGAGATGACTGAGTGGTTAAGAGCACTGATTGACTGCTCCTCCAGAGGAGCCATATTCAATTGCCGCCACCCACATGGTGGCTCAACCATCTGTGACTCCAGATCCAGAGGCTCCACCACCCTCTTCTGACCTCTGTAGGCAGCAGGCACATATGTGGTACACAGACATATACACGGTCAAAACAACATACACATAAAATAAAAATAAATCTTCAAGAAAAAAATGTTTTCTCCCAAAGCTGGGTATGGCTTAGTATAGAGCGCTGGCATGTGGGAGGTCTGTGGCGGCCATCTCTGTGAGGGCAGAACAAGTGAGCAGACTGCCCTGCAGAACAAATGCCTATTAACTTATAACTGAAAAAAAAAAAGTCCAGCAGCCACCAAGTTGAGGAAATACTGGGGCCCAGGAGATGGCTCAGTAGGTAAAGGATTTGCTGTCAAGCTCAATAACCTGGTTAAATTTGGGGAGCCACATGGTAGAAGAGAACCAACTCCCACGAGATGTTCTTTGACCTCCATACATATGCTGTGGCACTGTGGCACATTCATGCCTACACACACACACACACACACACACACACACACTTCCTACTTGAGACTTCAGCAGTCAGGAAATTTGTCATCTCAGATGTGCGGTGGCCATGGAGAAGATCTGCTGACCGAGCAGCTCCAGAGCCGGGTCTTTCTACCTTTGATCTCTCTGACACATTGGGAGAACAGGTCCTAGTGGTGTCAGGACAATGGCCAGCAGCATCTCTAGGCCTTCCTGGCGGCTGTGGGCTCCTGGGTGGAGGCTGTGTCCCTATTTCTATGTGAGAATGCTGACTGACCTTGTTCCCCTAGCCACACGGGGGAGAAGCCCTTCCAGTGCATTGCATGTGGTCGCGCCTTTGCCCAGAAGTCTAATGTCAAGAAGCACATGCAGACTCACAAGGTTTGGCCGCCGGGGCGCAGTGGTGGCACCATTTCCCGAAACTCTGTCACAGTGCAGGTCATGGCTTTGAACCCCAGCAGGCAAGAGGAGGAAGACACAGGTGAGTGGAGTGGGAGGAGCCGCTCCCCCGTTCATCCCTTCGGAAGCTCCAGGGCAATTTCCGATCGTCTGTGGTACTGGGGACCAAACCCAGGGTCTCTGCGACATCCCCAACCCCAGCCTCATAGGTTTTGATGCTAGTTGGGTGGTTTCCATGACGTCTCTGGGCTTCAGCCCAATTTGTCTGTGAAATGGAACCTGGAGAGCTGAGCGTGGTGTACTCTTGTGTCACTCCAGCCTGGTGAGCCCAAGATGGGAGAATCGGGAGTTTGAAGTCAGTCTCTGCCACACAGTGAGTCTGAGTTCGGTCTGTGCTGTGTAGCGGCCTCTCTAAAGAAGGGGCGTAGGGTGAACAGAAGGGTGCCAAGCATATAAGATATGTGACATTACTCCAATCCTGTGCCCTGGCAGACATGGGTATTACTCACTAATTACTGTCTGATTCTGGCTGAGCCTGGATCCTGTATTAGAATCCTTTTCTCCCTCCTTTCTACTTTCCCTCTTCCCTCTGTACCTTTCCCCTTCCCCTGGGTCTGAACTGGCCTGAAACTTGCTACATAGCTGAGAATGACCTTAAATGCCCGCTCCTCCTGCCTCTGCCTCCTGAGTGCTATGATCACAGACCTCAGACCTAAGTTACTTTACCCAGTTTTTTTTTTTTTATTTTTTGTTTTTCAAGACAAGTTTTCACTGAGTAGTCCTGGCTATTCTGGGACTTACTCTGTAGACCAGACTGGCCTTGAACTCACAGGGATCCATCCACCTGCCTCTACTTCCCGAGTGCTGTGATTAAAGGCGTGTGCTACCACTGCCCAGCTACTTTACCCAGTTCTGTGTGGTGCCAGAGGTTGAATCCACGGCAGGTTTTATTCTAGGCCACAGGCAAGCACTTGACCGTTGAGCTCCTTTACTGGTCCTCAGAATCCATTTTCTGTGCTCCGTGCTGTGTCTGTAGTTGATCAGCAATGGAAACCATTGGGTCTCGGTGGGCGTCTGCTCTCCAGATGTTCTATGGGCTTCTCATTCATCCGAGCGTTCAGGTGCTCCTGAGCTAACAGTCCTGTCCCAAACACTGGTTTAGTTCTCCCTTGTAGGGCTGGGGACTTAGTAGGCGGATAAACAGAACTGTCAGTGGAGATTCAACATGAGTACCATGATGTAATTTGAAGTTTTTTTAGTAGTCCAGCCTGGTAGCTAGTGCTTGGGAGGCCAAGGCAGCCTGAACTACAGAGCAAGATCTTGTCTCAGAAAAACAAAACAGGAGGCCATAGAGATTGCTTAGCAGGAAAGTACTTGCTGTTCAGTCATGAAGACCAGAGTTCCAGCCCCAGCACCCACATCCAGTGACTTACAAACATCTGTAACACAGCCCCTTCTGTCCTCATCAACACCCACTCACACAGACACATAGATACATATAAGTGAAATAGAAACAAAATTTGAGATAAATTAATCTATTTTACTGAACCTGATACCCTGTTTCGCAGGTAACATGAAGGAATCATTGAGGTTCCTTTTCCTTTGTAGAGCTGGGTATGGAACCTGGGCCCTTCTGTCTTCCTCAGAGCCACACCCTGTAAATGGACTTTGGGTCTCCAGCTCACAAAAAACCATACAGAGACATTAATTATGAAAGCTTGGCCTTAGCTTAGGCTTGTTCCTAACTAGTTCTTATAACTTAAATTAGCCCATATCTTTTAATATACATTTTTTTTAAAGAATCTCTTCTGAACTCTTTTTTTTTTTTCAAGACAAGGTTTCTCTCTAGCTTTGAAGCCTATCCTGGAACTTGCTTTGTAGACTATGCTGGCCTCGAACTCACAGAGATCGCCTGCCTCTGCCTCCCTAGTGCTGGGATCAAAGGCGTGCGTCACCACTGCCCGGCTTAATCTACATTTTTTGTGTGACTCAGTTACCTTTACTCTGTACTGCCCATCCTGTTTCCCCTGCGTCCAGCTGGTGATTCCGCCTTTCTTCCTCCCAGAGCTCTCTGTCCAGAAGTCTCACCTATATCTCCTGCCTAGCTGTTGGCCATTTAGCCTTTTATTAAACCAATCACAGTGACGTATCTTCACAGTAAAGGAATATTCCACAACACCCCAAAGCCATATGGAAATACTGCATGCATTTGTTTGCTGACTTTTGGAAGTCGGTGTGTACTTACATTTAGGGCCTTTCTGCACTGGGACCGGCTGTCTTCCAGCTCTGCCATGTCACCTGTGGCTGGTGACCACTGAATAGGACAGTTGTAGAGCCAGAGCCACAGTTCTTCCTACCCAAGCACCAGGGTGAGCAGCCCCAGCCACATGCCAGTGGCTGACGAGCCTTTGGCTGGGCGAGTGCCCGCAGACCTCGTTTATCTGACCCACCGGTGCTCTTTTGGAGCGAGCCCTCTTTTGTGCCTGGGTTTTGCTTTCTGAACTCCTACAGGCCCGGCACCAGGGGCCACCCATTCAGCATATATGTGGAGCCTACTCTATGCCAGGGGCCACCCATTCAGCATACATGTGGAGCCTACTGTGTGCCGGGCCGTGGGCTGCAGAGGTGAGGGAGCAGGCTCCTGATGACAGGGAGAGTGGGGGACAGTCTAGTGAGCAAAGAATGACGGGGCCTGGAGGCAAGCTGAATATTTAGGATTAGGAGAGTTCCGTTTCTAACACCTGTGGAGAGATTACAGTCTGAGTGAAGGCAGGGAGCGGAGCAGAGGTCACTAGCTGTCTCTTAGTCAGAATGTGTTTCAAGGGCTATGGATGTAGCCCAGGATGGCCTGGGTTCAATCCTCAGCACTATATAAACTGAGTGTGGTGGCTCAGATTTATAATCCCAGCCCTGGGAGTTAGTGGAGGAGGATCAGAAGTTCAAGGTCATCCTCAGCTACAAGCGTCTTTGGGGCCAGCCTGGACTATGTAAGAGCCTGTCTGAAAAAATAAAATAAAGAATGTATGCTAGTATTTCAGCATCATGTCTGACTATACTGGAATGCATACGCTTAGTACGGCCCTGAATACAGCATTTGAGAGCAAGTCTGTGGTCGCTGTCCCAGGATGTCCTGCATGCTGCAGTTCTTGTCCTGCCTCACTCGAAACCCTTCTCTGTGACTTTTTTCTCTCGGCATAGGGTTGGGCCAGACCCTGCCCAGCACCACACAGCCCCAGGCCTTGCCTGCAGCAGGTGAGGATGAAGGAGGCAAGCCGGAGGCCAAGCAGGTGGTCCTCATCGACAGCTCCTACCTGTGCCAGTTCTGCCCCAGCAAGTTCAGCACCTACTTCCAGCTCAAGTCCCACATGATCCAGCACAAGAAGGAGCAGGTGGGTGGCCATGAAAGCAGAGGGCACAGCTGCCTGTTTGTGAGCTTGATGACAGGAGGGTCCCCAGTGCTGCCTGGAAAGGGACGGGGACTAGGCCAGCCTTCTCCATGGCACTTTCTCCTGAAGACAGACTGCTGGAGGAATGATGGATAGCTAATTTAGACGGTTAGGAAGTTTGTTATCTGACCTGGCAGGCACTCAGCTCAGATTCAAGGGCTTTGTGTCTTGTCTTGCCAGCTCTGGTGGCTGTTTCCATAAGGCGTGGCCCTGTCTTTCATGTGGCTTACCTCCTGCTTGCTGCCCCCCCCCCCCCCCCATTTTTTTTTACAGACAGACAGGTTCTCACTGTGCAGCCCAGGCTGACTGGAACTGTCCGTGTAGACCAGGCCAGCCTCAGATTTGCAGAGATCCGCCTGCTTCTGCCTCCACCCTGCCCTGTGCTCTATTTCTGACTGTTGGTGTGTGTGTGTGTGTGTGTGTGTGTGTGTGTGTGTGTGTGTGTGTACACAAGTGTCGTGGAGCATGTGAAGGTCGGAGGACAACTTAAGGGAGTTGGTTCTCTCATCTTACCAGGGGTCCCAGAAATTGAAGTCAGGTTGTCAGTGGCAAGTACCTTTACCGGCTGAACCATCTCGCCGTCCCATCAGGGTTACCTGTTGTAGAAAATCCAGTCATAGTGTTTCTCATGAACAATGGGAACCTTTCCTGGGAGAATTCTCTGTAGCTCTTATGGATCACAGTTTTGTTTTTATTTTTGTTTTAAGTCAGGGGCTCACGAGGCTGGAGCTGTGGCTCAGTGGTTAGGAGCACTGAGTTCATTTCCCAGCACCCACATCAGGTGCTCACAACTGCCTGTTAAGTCCAGCTCCAGGGGATGAGGCCCTCTTCTGGCCTCTGAGGGCACCTGCACTCACAGGTACGCGCACATGTGTGCACTGAGGATGACCCTGAAGTTCTGTCCTTCTGCCACTGAAATAGGGCTTCACACGTGCTCGGCAAGCCTGCTATCAACAGAGCCAGCTGAGCTGTGTCCGCAGCTCCAGAGCGCGCTCTTGTCACGCAGGAGACTATTCATATACGGACAGTAGTAGAAGACTGGCCAGTCGTTAGGGTTTTATTTCTCTCCTGTCAAAATGGCCCGGAATGAGCAGTGCTGGGCTTGTCTAGCAGGCTAGGCATGTCATCCAGGGCCAGGCTTCTGACTTCCTGCTCTAGAACCTTTAGGTTGTGGTGTTCACCCTCAAAATTGCAGAATAGTTGCCGTGTCTCCGTCTATCACTCCTCCTCCTCCTCCTCCTCCTCCTCCTCCTTCTCCTTTTTTTTCTTCCTCCTCCTCCTCCTCCTGATATGGAGTCTCAAGCTAGCTACAAACTCACCATGTTGCTAAAGATTATCTTTTTTATTTTTAAAGATTTATTTGCTCTATTTTAGGTGTTTGAGTGTTTTGCCTATGTGTGTGTGTGTGTGTGTGTATCATGTGTATGCCCAGTGTCCTGGTCAGAAGAAGGCATTAGATTTCCTGCTGTTGGGATTATGGTCATAAACTATCATGTGGGTGCTGGGAATTGAGTCTGGGTCCTTACAAGAGCAACAAGTGCTTCTAACCCTCCTAATGGCTGAGGTATTGCTCCAGCCCCTCCGATTGTGAGCTAAGATGCCTTTCTTTTCCTGCCTTTTCTTCCCAAGTGCTGGGATTGCAGGTGTGCCCACTGCCCTCGGGCTAATGGTGTCCACTCATTTGAGAGCCATGGCATTCAAGAGTATAGTGTCGCCACTTCACCGTATTTCTAGGTCTTGGGTAATTTTTATGGATTCTTCAGGCTTCACAAAGCCATAGGGAAGGGTAACTGGCCAAGAGAAGAGAACCCTGCAATCACAGTAAAGCCAGGAGCTAATCCTGGTGATCCTCAGGAAGCTCATGCAGGAGAATCTCAATTCAAGTCCTGACTGAGCTACAGAGGGAGTTCAAAGCCAGCCTGGGTGAACTTAGTGAGTACCTATATCACAATAAGAAGTAAAAAGAGAGCTAGAGATAAAACTCAATGGTAGGCTGCTTGCCCAGCATTTGGGAGGCCCTGGTTTTATCCATAGGGACCAGAGGAACCACTGGCAGGTTGCTCACAGCAGTGTTTATAGCCCCATGCCCGGGTCACAGGGTAGGGGTAACAAGAGGCGACCCCCACCTCTCTCACCTCCCAGTGTCTCCTCCCAAGGTGTACAAGTGTGTGGTCAAAAGCTGTGCCCAGATGTTCCCCAAGCTGGACACCTTCCTGGAGCACATCAGAAGCCACCAGGAGGAGCTAAGCTACCGCTGCCATCTCTGCAGCAAGGACTTCCCCTCACTGTATGACCTGGGCTTGCACCAGTACTCCCACAGCCTCCTGCCGCAGCACAGCCCCAAGAAGGACAGCACCGTCTACAAGTATGTGTGCATGCCACCAACCACGCTGGACTGGGGGCAGGGAGCCTGGTTCGGGCTGCTCAGAATCTGTGAAATACAGCAAAGGGAAACTGAGGCTAAGAGCTGGTGTCCAGCCTGAGGTGTTTGGGCATGAGTGGGAAAAAAACGATACTGACTCTTCTCAGGCCATTCTTCACCTGTCAGGCATTTATCATAGAAACCTCACCTTGAAAAGGGTAACTAGGGACCAGAAAGATGGTTCAGTGAGTATAGGTGCTTGCTACCAAGTCTCATGGCCTGCGTTTGATTCCTAAGACCCAACTGATGGAGGGAAAGAACTAATTTTTCCATTTATTGTTCTCGCACCTCCACTGGCACACACACATGTAAAATAAACAAATGCAAAAGAAAAGAAAAAGAAAAAAAAATGTTAGCTGGGCATGGTGGTGCACGCCTTTAATCCCAGCACCATGGAGGCAAAAGCAGGTGGATCTTTGGGAGTTCGAGGCCAGCCTGGTCTACAAAGCGAGTTTCAGGACATCTGGGACTGTTACACAGAGAAACCCTGTCTCAAAAATCAAAAAAAGAGAGAAAAAATATTGAGGGCTAGAGAGATGGTTCAATGGTCAAGAGTATTTGCTGAGGACCTGGGCTCAGTTCCTAGCCCCCACATGGTTCATAACTGCCTGTAGCAGAAGAGGGATCTAGTGCCCTCTTCTGGCCTCTGTGGGTTCCTGTGGGCACAAGGTGCACATAAACTCACGCAGGCTCACACACATAGACAGAAAACAGTCTTGAAAAACTGATGTTCTAGGGCTGGAGAGATGGCTCAGCCGTTAAAGGCTAGGCTGCTGACTGAGAGCAGGTGTTCCACAAACAGTCCTGAGCCTATGAGGACAAGTGGTGACAGGTATCTATCTGGGACACCTTCCACTAAATATTTTTTATGTTGGGATGGCTTTTGTGTTTCATGAAAACTTAAACCTGTAGGAATTTGTCTGGTGACCTCTGTTACTTCAGAAACTTCTTGGTGAGGCACCTGGGATTAAGATAAGCAAAGCAGATCTTTGAGCCAGAATTGTTGTTGCTCAGGGAGACCGGTGTGTGAACAAATGCTTCTTGTACACTGTAATGAAATGTTGCCAACCTGCCCTCAAATAGCTCAGGAGGCAGCTGCTTCAGGGTTGCCTAAGGGTGATAATAAGTACGATGGAGCCGTCTGCCAGTGCTCAGATCCCAAGCTGACGAGAGCCAATGCATGGGATTAGAGGCATGTGCCGCCGCCACCCGGCTCTCAGGCTTATTATTAGCGGGCTCTTACAACTTAAATTAACTCATTTCTATTAGTCTATATTTTACCACAAGGCTCATGGCTTGCTTTCTCACATCTTGTTTCTCTGGGAGCTGCTGGTATCTCCCTAACTACCTTTTTCCCCCTTTGTCTTTGCTTGGATTTTCCACCTGGCTCTATTCTGCCTAGCTATTGGCCAAATCAGCATCTTTTTTAACCAATGGTAATAAACATTTTCACAGCACACAGAGGGGCATTCCACATCACTCCTACACCTGTCTCAGAAGCTCAGCTGAGGGTGGGGAATGTCAGAGCAGAGTGCACACATTTGAGAATGAATTTCATGTAGGATTTTACCTCCTGAAGTTGGTTTTGGGGAAGCAAGAGAAATCTCCATACTTGCTAGAGCCCATCTCTCTCTTCCTTCCCACTTAGGTGTGTCAAGTGTGTCAATAAATACTCCACTCCTGAGGCCTTGGAGCACCATGTACAGACGGCCACTCACAGCTTCCCCTGTCCACACTGCCAGAAGGTAGGTATCGCAGAATCTTCTTCACAGAAGGCTCTAAGAGGGACAGTGCCCTGCCTGAAGGCTTCGGCTAGCCGGGTGCGCTGGTGCAGACCTCTAATCCCAGCACTCAGGAGACAGAGGCAGGGGGATCTCTGTGGGTTGGAGGCCAGCCTGGTCTACAGAGTGAGTTCCAGGACAGTCAGGTCTGCACAGAGAAATCCTGTCTCAGAACAACAAAGACATGGACAGAATTCAGGTTGTCTAGCATGGCATCTGCAAAGACAACTTTGCCGAGAGCGCTGATATCTGATGTGGGTCTTGAGGGTTGAATAGGAGTTTATGAGACTAAGAAAGAACAGCCTTTGTGTAAGAAGAACAGCAGCAGCCTGGGTGGCAGCTCAGAGGGACTGTGCTTTGGCTGGGCTCAGGAGTGCTTAGAGAGCAGAGAGGTCTGCAGGGCTGGGTCTGACCCTCTGGCCTCCAGCCCTGTGGGCAGGTAGGATGATGTTTCCAAGAAGCTCAAACCAGGTTCCCTGAGCTCAGAAGGTAGAAGGTGGTGAGAGAAGGGGTCCTGGAACCTGACCTGCCACGATCCTATCTTTCTCCAGGTCTTCCCCTGCGAGCGCTACCTGCGACGTCACTTACCCACCCATGGCAGTGGTGGCCGGTTCAGGTGCCAGATCTGTAAGAAGTTCTTCCGGAAGGAGCACTACCTCAAGCTGCATGCCCACATCCACTCAGGTGGGTGCCCTATGCACCCCTCTCCCCATCTCTGGCCTGCCCCTCTGTCTTTTCCTTCTGTACTGGCTCCTTTCCCCTGAATCCCTCTTCCTGTCCTCAATACTGAACCTTACTCGCCTGTCCTCACCTGTGAACATGGGACTCCCACCCCCTCACCTGTGAACATGAGGCTCCCACCTTTTTACCTGTGAACATGGGGCTCCTATCACCTTGAAAGCAGAGGTAAAGCAAGAGGTGGTGGCGCATTCCTTTAATCCCAGCACTTGGGAGTCAAAGGTAGGTAGATCTCTTTGAGTTCGAGGCCAGCCTGGTCTACAGATTGAGTTCCAGGACAGCCAAGGCTACACAGAGAAACCCTGTCTCAAAAAAATAGAAATAAAAATAAACAAGAAAAAGGAAGGAAGGAAGGAAGGAAGGAAGGAAGGAAGGAAGGAAGGAAGGAAGGAAGGAAGAAAAGAGGGGGGGGGCTTGACCCTGCTCTCTGGGTGGCAGCCCTACTAGGCTACCTCATGGCTATTGTAGGGTGACTGTCCTGCAAATTCCTGCCTCCTCTACTAGGTTCCCAGCTTGAGGTATAGTTAAAGTTTTGAGATTTTAAATTTTTATGGAGGAGGGAGAGACGGTATCTCATATATAACTAAGCTAGGATTACAGGTCTGTGCCGCAAGGGGTGTGTGTGTGTGTGTGTGTATGTGTGTGTGTGTGTAAAATGGGTGTAGACGTGGCATACATGTGTGGTTAAATGGCAGCCTTGGGTATTAGCTCTTACCTTCAACCTCGCTTGAGGCAGGGCCTCTGTTGTTTGCTGCTGTGTACACAGGCCAGCTTTGGGGTTTACGTGCCCAGGGATTCTGTCTCCACCTCTCATCGCCCTTTAGCCTTACAGGATGACAGATGTGTGCTCCTCTCCCAGTTTTATGTAAATTTAGAGATTTGGACTCAGGTCCTCACATTTGGGCAGCAAGCATTTTACCCACTGAGTCATCTCCTCAGGCCCAGCATTCAGTTTTATCTTTAAAATAAGTACCGACTGGGTGTGGCATACACATGTAATCCTGGCTACTCAGGAGGCGGAGATGGGAGGGCCAAGTGAGTTTCTCTTTCAACACAATGCCAGACCAAAAGCAAATCCCATGCTAGAACCTGTAGGTCCCAGCTTATACGGTGCCCCCAGCTCCCTCCCTAGTAACTGCGATTACTGCCTAGTTTGGGTGACAGATTAGAAAAAAAAATATTTGTTTGTGTGAGCTGATGTCATATGCATGTGTACCCTCAGAGACCTTAAGAGAATGGTACCGGCAGTTGTTGCCTGCCCAACATGGGTGCTGCTGGGACCTGAACTTAGGTCCTCTGGAAGAGCTGCTGCATGCTCTCTTAACTGCCTAGTCATGCCCTCCAGACCCTCTGGTCTTATTTTTTATCTGTTCAAAACACTTTCTTTTATGTAAGTGAGCACATGGCGTAACTCTGTTATCTGCTTATTTCCTTAACAGTATGTCACAAAGACATTCCTAGGCAGTGCTTTCCTGCCCATAGCTGCTTAGTCCCATCTGTTCCCTGTGAGTGAACTTCGCTTTTATTATTACTATTACTATTATTACTATCGCGCTGGGGATTGAACCTCAGGCCTCATATAGGCCAGATAAGCCCTACAAATGAGCCATACTCTAACCCTAGATCCTTCAATAAGTTTTTCAGCCATTATTATTATTATTAGTTAGATAACATTACAGGTTATAGTGGTGCACGCCTTTAATCCCAGCACCCAGGAAGCAGAGGCAGGCAGATCTCTGAGTTAGAGGCCAGGCCTGGTCTACAGAGTTCCAGTACATCCGGGACTACTCAGAGACACCTTGTCTCAAGAGGGGAAAAAAGAAAACTGTGATAGGGATTGGGTGGAGAGATGACTCAATGGTTAAGAACACTTGCTGTCCTTCCAGAGGACCCAGGTTCAATTCCCAGTACCCAAAGGTCAGCTCACAACTGTCTGCAACTGCAGTTCCAGGGCATCTGATGCCCTCTTCGGGCCTCCTTACATCAGGCATGCACAGGCACGTGGCACACAGACTTAAATGCAGGCAAATAACAACATACACATAAAAGTAAAAATAATTATATATATTTAATTAAAAATCTATTTTAAAGCTGGGGTTATGGTGTGGTGGTGTCATGCTTTCCTAGTGAGCATCAAGCCTTGAGTTCCAGAGTGACACATTCCTGTAATCTTAGCACTTGGGAAGGCTGAGGCAGAGGGATTGGAACACTCCAATCCAGTTTTGGCTATGCAGTGAAAACTTGCTCAAAAACTGAACAAAACCCATCCAAACTCTGTGCCAAGTCAGAAGAGTAGCTCCTCCTCCAGGGGCATTCAGACTGGTGTTCCCACGTCCCCACAGGCGAGAAGCCCTACAAATGTTCAGTGTGTGAGTCTGCATTCAACCGCAAAGACAAGCTGAAGAGACATATGCTAATCCACGAACCCTTCAAGAAGTACAAATGTCCCTTCTCGTAAGTAGGGGCTGCCTTATTGATGGGGTTGGACTATGTTACCTCAGAGGGGTTAATGTGGAAGGCTGGACTGAGGGCCTCTTGGGCCCTGCCTGCCTCATTCCCCATTGCCCCCTTGCCTACCCCTTTGATCAACAAAGGCAAGCGCAGGCACCAGCCAGAGGATTTATGCGCCTGCGCTCCCTAACTCGTGACTTTGGGTTCCAGGATGCACACAGGCTGCAGTAAGGAGTTCAACCGGCAGGACAAGCTGAAAGCTCACATTCTCTCCCACGCCGGTAAGAGGCTTAGGTGGGGGAACTGGCTGAGATAAGATCCCCAAGATACAGCTATTGGAAGAGCAGGCACCGGTATGACGCATATTGTCCGTTTCTGCTCATGTGTTCATGGGAACTAGAAGCCAGGTCTGCGCTGGGGGCCTTGGCATAGCAGAGGTGAAGTAGATGCAATCCCAGCCCCTGGGGAAGTAGATGTGAGCTGGACTATGTCGGTGCCATCCAAGGTGTGGCTAAGGGCTTGCCTGGGAAGGCCGGACAGAGGTCCCCAAGCCACCTTCCTGGGCAAACAGGAGTGCTTATCAGCACCCCCTCCACTCTCCATGCCCACCCATCCACTGTGCATGACCAACCCCCTATCCACTGTCCATGCCCACCCCTATCCATTATCCATGCCCAAACCCCCTATCCATTATCCATGCCCAAACCCCCTATCCACTGTCCAGGCTGACTCCATCCACTGTCCATGCCCAACCCCCTATCCACTGTCCAGGCTGACTCCATCCACTGTTCATGCCCAACCCCCTATCCACTGTCCAGGCTGACCCCATCCACTGTTCATGCCCACCTCACATCCACGGTATGTCAGTGTGACATCTTCCCCTTACTGTAACAATCAAAACTCTCTCCAAAAATTCCTGTGGAGATAAAGTGACCTCTGTTAAAAGCTTGAAAATGGTAGCATAGACCAGGAGGATGCCTCAGCTGGTAGATACTTGCCTGGCATGTATAAAGCCCTGGCTTTGATTCCCAATTACACATAAACTAAACATGGAAGCAAAAAACTAGGGGGCTGGAAGCAAGAGTCAAGGTCATCTTTGGCTTCATAGCAAGTTCAAAGCCAGCCTGGGCTATGTGAGACTTCCCCCTCCTTTTTAAATCAGAAATGGGGAGAGTTAATCAAGGACTTTGACTTTGAACAAGGCTGCCAGCTTCTTGCTGGGTGGTCTCAGGCAAGCAGCTGCTCCTTTTGGGCCCCCAACCCCAGGAGGCTGAAGGGTGAAGGTATTTACAGAAGGAGCCTAGCCCAGCAGGGTTGGTGTGGAATCAGGGAAGTCCTCCACAGAGCCTAGGCTTGAGGAGAGAGAGGAGCTAGGAAGAGAGAACAAGTGCAGGCCCCTGGATAAGGAAAGCCCAGAGTGGGGAGGGGGAGGGAGGAGGGGCTGGGCAGACCACTCCCTGATTTGTAGGAAAGGGCCTCAGCAGGGTTTAGGCACCAAGCCGTTTACTGTTTTGTGCTTTACAAAAACATCTCTCTCTCCCATTGGCAGGGGCCTGAGGGGCACAGGTGAGGCCAGCAGCCCAGAGGTGGTGGCTGCCTCTGGCCACCCAGGGAGAAGTGGTGTGACCTACAGAGTCCACCAAGGCTTAAGAATTTAGCAGATTATTTCAGACACGGGGAAAGGCCCAGGGGCAGGAGGATGCACAGTGTTGGGGAAGTGACAGGGGACAGTGGAGCCTGGTGAGGCCTGGCCACACTGACACTTGTCCGCTCCGAGGCTGCAGTTATTCCTGGGTGGGACTTGTGCGGGGTGAGGGGCTGTGCCTCTCCCTGATGGCCCCTCCCTCCCCAGGCCTGAAGCTCCACAAGTGTGGGCTGTGCAGCAAGTCCTTCAGCCGCCGAGCCCACCTGGCCGAGCACCAGCGCTCACACACGGGCAACTACAAGTTCCGCTGCGCCGGCTGTGCCAAGGGCTTCTCGCGACACAAATACCTCAAGGATCACCGCTGCCGCCTGGGCCCCACGAAGGACAAGGACTTGCAAGCCCGGAGGCCTCCCCGGAGGAGAGCAGCCCCACGTGGTGGCGGCAGCATTGTTGGTGCGCACAAGGAGGAAAGCCCTGTGCCCGACCCACTGGGGCTGGAGGAGCTAAAGGCTGCAGGGCCCGCACCCGAGGCTGCTCCAGGCAAGCCACCCTTCGAGCAGGACGCCGTGTTGTCCATCGTGGTGGGCGGAGACCCAGAGCTGGTGGTGCCCGGGCACACCGAGGGTCTGGGGTCCAACCTGGCACTGGCCGAACTGCAGGCCGGGGCTGAGGGTGCATGTGCCATGCTTGCTGTCCCGGTCTACATCCAGGCCTCCGAGTGACCAGGCTGGACTTCCCGGGTGGAGGGCCATGGCACAAGCCCTTTTGGAAGTTATGTATCAACCCTATGCCATAGCTGTCCTTCAATGCCCTTCGAATCGGCTGAGGAGCCCCGTAGCACTCACAGGGGCTGAGGCAGTCACCATAGCTCTAGGGCATAGCAGTGGTAAGAGAGATGGCCAGGGCTGAAGAGATGGCTCAGTGGTTAAGAGCACTGGCTGCTCTTCCAGATGACCCAGGTTCAATTCCCAGCACCCACATGGCAGCTCACAACTGTCTGCAACTCCAAGATCCGACACCTTAACACAGACATACATGTAGGCAGAACAGCAATGCAAATAAAATAAAAATAAATAATTTAAAAATAAATACATAAAAATTAAACAAAAAGAGAGATAGTCAGAACATGAGATGCCCAGGGGCTGAGTGATGGAGGCTGGTACTTGGGTCTTGTCCAAGAGAAGGCTGGGTGGTTCTACCCACCTATCCAGGCTACCTGGGGTGGCCTCAGATCAAGGCTGCTCTTTCTGCTGGCTGAACACTTCCTGGTGGCGCCCTCAGAGGACTGTGTGAGGTGCCTATATAAGTGTCACTCAACCTGGGGCTTAGAGTGTAGCTAGCAGCCAGACCTGGCTTCAGATGTCCCAGTGTGGCTTCGAGCAAGGCGCTTCACCTCTCTCTGCTCCACGTTCCTCACCTGTACGACAGGACTTGATAGAGTGCTACCTCTTAGAGCGTCCTGAGGACAAAGGGCTGCACACAGTACCCACGGCTTGGAAACTGCTCAATAAGTCTCAATAAATGTTTTTATCAGTGACATGTGTCCAAAAGGCTCAGGCCTGAGTCTTAGTGTTTCCTTTCTTAGCCCCGAAGGGGCAGTACTCCTCTCTAAAGCCCAGGCTGATGTGCCCTGTAGCACCCACATCATAGCCAGCCAGGGAGAATCACACAGAGGAGCAGGCTTGCCCAGACGGGTGGTAACTCTGACAGTCTGCAGCACTCAAGAAGCTGAGGCAAGAGGATTTCGAGCTTCAGGTCAGCCTGGGTTACAGGCTACCAACCCCTCTCCTTCATGGGTGGAGACCCGGTGTTTTCCAGATGCTATTACATAGCATGTTCTGTGTGAATGGCCCCTGGAAGAGGTTTATATTTGTGCGTGGGACTTCAGAATCCTGGGTCTTCCCTGCATGCTGTCAGTTCAGAAGCTCTGACTATAGACAGAAGCCCTCCCCATGCTCCACGTCTAGTTGTTCCCTCCATTCCCAGCTGGTTCGGGTGGGAGGCAGGTAGGAGAAAAGGGCCCTTAACTCATGTTTATCCATCTCTTTACAGCCACCCGCTGAACCATGTTGCTTCTGTTACAGAAAGGGAAACTGAGGCAGGGCACAGTAGAGTTGACTGATGACTGAGCTGCCTAGAAGCCTTGGCATGACCTTCAGAAATTCTGTGCTGAGACCCATACCTGACTTCCCACATGGGGGGTGGGGGGTGGGGGCAGCTGCAGGAGGGGCAAAGCCATTGGGGATGGGTGAGGGTTCCAAGTGTCCCATCTGCAAAAGAGTTAGAGGACTGATGGGGACAGGGATTTTTGAAAGAGATGACATTTGAGCTGGGACTTTGTTTTGGTTCACATGATTGGCTGGCCGGCTGGTTGGCTGGCTGGCAGGCTGATTTTCTGAGACAGGGCCTCACTCTGTAGCTTACTAAATAGCCCAGCCTGGCTCCAAACAAGTGCTGGGATTACAGATGTGGCCCCATACCTGCTGCCACAGAGAGCTCGGGTGGAAAGACAAGGGAAGTCAATGAAGGAAGTATGTGTGAAGTCTGGGCTGGAGAATGGCCCAGGGTGACCGGATATATTGGGAGGAGTACATGGGAGGTGACAGCTGCCTTCATACAATGGACACTGCTCATGTCACACTGCCGCAGCCATCAGGTGTGTGCTACTGCTTCCCCGAGTTTAGAGTTGAGGAAGCAGAGGCACAGAGAGGCACACTCCTTGCCCAAGCTCACACAGCGTGCGAGTGGCAGAGCTGGGAGTCAAGCTCTGCTTCCTCATGCTCCCAGCCACTCTGCTCTGTTGACATGTGAGCTTTGAGCTGGTGACAAATGAGAGAGCCTTGGGTAGACGGAAGTTGGCTTTTATTCTCTATATATCAAAGGCGTCCTGGGAGGTAGAGAGCCTGTTTTTAGACTGGAGGGGGACCATTCAGGGAAATATTGACACGCCTGCGTTCGTGCCCAGTTAGAGCTCTGTTCCCAGCAGCACTTGCGTGCTCACGTGTTTTCCATAAACCACTCACTTGCCATAGGCTTGCCATTGTTTGAAGCGCTCAAGTTAGGCACTGAATCCAGTTTGGGAGCTGAGATAAGGCAGTGGGGGCTTCAGAGGTTGCCAGGCCAAAGCCACGGAGCAGGTAAGTGGCAGAGACAGATCACAGAATAAGGCAGATTTGGCCTGGGACTGTGTGAGGGAAGCTGGAGTCGGTTGACACATGTATTCCTAGGTTAGCAGGTGGAGACTGAGCCCCAGAGGAAAGAAAGCCCTTCATCAGGGGTCACAGAGAAGTGGGGGCACAGGATCCAAAGCACCTTGAAGAGCCCCCAGGTTGCTGGACAATGTCGTGTTAAGAGGCTGAGCATCCGGGTCCCGCCCTAATGCAGAAAGAACTCAGACTGGAGTCAGGTAAGGTATGCTTGAATCCCAGCACCGTGCTTTCTAGACCGTGGTGAATGCTTCTGAATCTCAACTTTAATTGGGGTCTTTTATGGTTTCAGAGGTTTAGTTCATCATCACCATGGTAGGATATGGCAGTGTGCAGACAGACGTGGTGCTGGAGAAGGAGCTTGAGAGTTCTGTGTCTTCATCAGCAGGCAGCAGAAGCGACGGTGACACTGGGTGTAGCTTGAGCACAGGAGACCTCAAAACCCGCCCCATAGTGACAGACTTCCTCCAAGGCCACACCTCCTAATGGTGCCACTCTCCCTGGGCCAAGCTTTCAATCACGAGTCTATGTGGGGTATTCCCATCCAAACCACCACAGTATGCTACCTGATGAGGTCTTGTGCCCAGATTACGACCCGCAGGGAGACCACCAGAAACCAGAGAAGTCCAGACTGCAATAAGCCAGGTTTATTGTTAGTGTTATATGAGCTAGCTCGAGACTCACCTCCACACTCGATGCAGCGAGGCAGGGAGGAGCTCGAATCCCTTTGTGGGGTCAGCTTTTTAAAGGCAAAAACGACAAGCCCTTCAAGACCATCAGGGGGCTTGGCACGGGTGCAAGGTCCTTGCTCTTTCCCATCCTGTTACGTCAGCTTGTTCTTTGTTTTCAGAGCAAGGTCACCATATCCCTGAGTCAGGACATCTTTACCAGTTATCAGTCTCCCAGCACTGGGGAGGCAGAGGCAGGTGAATGAGTTCGTGGCCAGCCTGCTCTACAAGAGCTAGTTCCAGGACAGGCTCCAAAGCTACAGAGAAAAAAAGAAAAGAAAAGAAAAAGAAACAAACAAAATATATAAATCTCAGCATTTGAGAGGCAGTGTATGAACTAATCTCTGTGAGTTTGAGGCCAGTCTCATCTGTAAAGCAAGTTCCAGGACTGTTAACACAGAGAAACCCTGTCTCAAAAAAACAAAACAAAATAAGAACAACAAAAACATAAATATATATTAATCTCAGCATTTGAGACACAGTGCATCTACTCATCCCTGTGAACACTTAGAACACTTGAGTCTACATGATGAGTTCTAAGTCAGCCAGGGCCACACAGTAGTAACAGTAGGATTTATTTTTATTGTTAATGTGCCCATGTATGAGTGTGCACGTGGGTGTGTGCATGCCAGGCGTGTGGAGAGGTCAGAGGACGTCTCTGGGGAGTCAGTCACTTCCACTGCTTGGGGCTCAGGGATGGATTTAGGATGGCAAGAGTATCTATCAGCCAGCACATTTCCTACTGAGCAATCTTGATAGCCCCAAGTGTCTTTATGTTTCAATTCATGTCTTTCTTTTCTCTTTTTCTGCCTCTCCTTTTCTCCTGCCCTCCCCTCCTCCTCCTGCCTGGAACATCTGGAACTCAGAGTCATTCAGGTCCACTTGAACTGCCAGCAATGCTGCTGACTTGGCTCCCCCAGGGGAAGACTGTAGCTATGAGCCACCACACCCTGGTAGCCTCAGTTTCAGTTTCTTTCTTCCTTCTTCTCTGTGTAGCAGCTCTGGCTCTCACTCGCTCTGTAGACTCACAGAGATCCACCTGCCCCTGTCTCGTGTGCACCATCATGCCCGGCTAGCCTCAGTTTCTTTAGCAGCAAATTTACTTGACATCTACTTAGTGCCGATCTTTGTGCTTTGAACCTTATTTACATGGCATTGAGTTTAGTTCCACCAAGATTTTTATTTTGGAGCTGGAGAGACAGCTCAGTGGTTAAGAGCACTTGCTCTGGTTGAGAGCTTCAGTTTAGTTCTCAGCACCCACACCCATCACACTATTTCTGACTTTAGTTCTAGAGGATCCACATGCACACATAGGCCAACACTTATGCACATAACCTCCTTTTAAATATAAGACTTTTGTTGCTGTTGTTTTGAGACAGAGGCTCTCTATACAGCCCTTGCTATCCTGGAATTTCCTATGTAGACCAGGCTGGCCTCAAATTCACAGAGATCTGCCTGCCTCTGCCTCCCAAGTAGTGGTGGGATTAAAGGCATAGTGCCACCATGCCCAGCTAAAATTATCTTATTTATTTATTTATAATATATATATATATACATATATATACACATACACTATTCAGTTTTATTTATGTGTCTCTGTGTGTGCCATGCATGTGTTGGTGCTCTTGGAGGCCAGAAGAGGGACTCAGATCCCCTGGAACTGAAGTTACTGGTGACTGTGAGCCACCTGACATGGGTGCTGGGATCTGAACTCAGGTCCTTGTGCTTGCATAGCAAGCATTAAATCAGCAGATCCATCTCTTCCCCATTTTGTTTATTTGAGAAAGGGTCTCCTAGATGTCCAAGATGTAGCATAAGCTAGCCTTGACCTTGCTATGTAGCTTCAGATAACCTTGAACCTCATCTTACTGCCCCTGCTTTCTGAGTGCTGTACCACCACACCAGACATTTCTTTGAGGTTTGTTGTCCTCATTAGAAACAAAAGCTCTATGAAGATTAGTGGGTTGGCCTAAAAGCCTCAGTTGGGCTGCGAAACTTGGGACAGGAAAGTTGACTTGCCTGTGAGACATCACTAGGCACCCCTTCTCCCCCCTCCCCAAAACAGCAAACTTCTGAACAACATACCAACCTCCCTTATTATTTATCACTTCAAGTGTGCAGAAAAATTCATGTTAATCCCACTGATCAGGAATAAGATCACTACCACAGTTTAAAGCCACATTTGAAGCAAGCTTTAATTAAATATTGGTAGGTGGATGGGCTCTGGCCAAGTCCACACCTAGATTTCTGGGAAATGGCCCCAAGTCACCAGTTTAAGACTCATTTCATTTCCCATCAGGTCCAATCAGGGGCAAGCATACTTCCTGACATATTTCCTGCCTGTGAACATCCTGCCCACATGCAATCAAACACTTCTGGTGCAAATGGGTCAAACATGATGTGGGATTTCCCTCTGTATGCTATGTATACTAGTGGTGAATAAAGAAACTGCCTTAGCCTGTTGATATGGCAGAATTTAGGTGGGTGGGGAAAACTATGGAATGGAATGCTGGGAGAAAGGATGCAAAGTCAGAGAGAAGCTATGGAGCCACTGGATAATAGATGCTGGGAACTTTACCTGATAAGCCACAGCCAC